CTTGAGCCACATCCCCAGCCCTATATGTACTTTTATTATGAATGAACTTCAACGATTTATCCTAGAGCTGACATCCAAATATATTGCAAATAGCCTATAATAATGATAATATATCTAATACAGAATACTGTAGTCTATGGTAGATTTTACATCATTGTCATTTTTCTCAAGATTTCTCATTATATAATACGTAATAATCTCTCAACATTATGGCATTACAAACATTTCTGCATTCACCTCTCTATGCCTAGACTACTGAAATCACAGTTACTTTTACCTCAAAATTGAGGTAGGAGGGAGAAAAGGCAAGAGCACATGTGTGTGCTGGGGAAAATTCTCAGGAACCCACTTGCTCACTATTCTGCATGCTTTAAGCTTCTGTCCTAAGTGGACAGAAGGATTGGTGTTCTAGCCTCTCCTCTCTGCCAGATGCCTAACAGTACTGAAATACCGTGTATTATTAAAACACATCATGTAATTAAACAAAGGTTAATAGTTTAAAATAGTATTCTTAAAGCAGCCATTAAAGATATTCTTAAAATCACTGTCTCAAAATCTTGTTATTTGAGCCACAATGACCCCATTTAACCTCTCAGGGAAGGAAAAACAAAAAATAAAATTAAAAAAAAGTTATATAGTGAACTCAAGGTCATTTTTATTTTATAAAATATATAAACAGTGAGTTATTATTAAAGCGAGAAGATTAGGATATATTTTCAATCCTTTAAAAAACAGTACTCCTAAAAAATCTAGATTATAACAAGAACAAGCATCAAAACTATGTGACATGGCTTTATTCCAATTAATTAGAAAAGGGATGATTATATTTCAAAACTTTAGCAAATTCAGCCTTATCCAAACTTCCCAAAGCTTAAATATTTTGATATTTAAAACAAAACGTATATATTTCTTAAATAACATTTTACTTTGACTCAGGTTTCCAACTAATAGCAACGTTTTCTGAAATAATATTACGAATTCTGTTTTAAAATGCTGCAATGTGCTTCTTTTAAAATTCATGATAAAATAACACTTCAAAGTCTCCCAAGAGTTTCAGAAATGATATGCATATAAACATTGATGCTCCGATGAGAATAATTTAAGTTACATTAAATATAACTGTTTTCCAAAGCCCCTGAAGTGTATATCTGGTCGCTGTGTCTTAAAATACACAGGACTTAAAAGTCTCCTCTATATTTAAGCAAGAAAAGAAGCTTCATTACAACAAAAACAGGCTTCAGAGAGGGAATGTG